AAAGGATGGGAATATTTTGTTTGTTGAGTTAAGAAAGATAAATTTGTCCTAATATACTAGAAAGTAAGAAAGAAAGCATGGGACAAATTCTGAATGTAACAAGAAAGTTGTAGAAGGTTTGTGTAAGAGAAATTTTGAAAAGAGTTTTGTAACTGATCAAGTTGGTTAAGATTAAAATGAATCTAATTAAGTAAATGGCGTTTAATATGAAAAAGTAAACTGGTACAAAAGTTAGAATTTGGTTTTCTCTCAAAGGATGATTATCTTGAACTTTTGGCCTGCTCTAAGTCTACCCAAAAGACAGAAAATCTGTCTTGTTAAAATGATTTCACATCTTCAGAAAGAAGTCTCTTAAAATTTTGACTGTTTTAGCCATTTACCCTTGACTAATTCTGTTGTCATTTTATATACCTGAGCATTGTTTCACAGTGAGGGTTGTTTCCTATTTGAACAAGTATTTTTAAAAAAACTTTTGGCACTTTTGACAAGCTTCTCCCTCAAAAATATTCAAGTCCTAAATAAAGGCTTTCTTTTGATCTGGATGAAAGAAGAGGATTTCTCTGGGGATTTTCAGAGGGCCCCTGGGACTTCACAGAGAAATTTGCTCTCTTCCTATAAGGTGGAAGATTCTAAACTAATTAGGCTTATTTGGTCTGTTAAATTACATTGGAAGCATTGTCAGATAAGTGATGATAATCTTTCTTAGGTGGTATTATGTGGGTAAATGTTATTGATATGTGTTTTGAAAATTATATAACATTCCTAAAATTCTGATGTGTCCTGGCTATCAGCCATAATTCGAAATATTATTATAAGGTGTTGTGTATCACAGAAATAACCAAGTTTCTCTGTCAATTGTCGTTTTTAAGTCTTTTGTTGTTTACAGTCAGTTGTTTTACTCTGATGCTTTTTGCTTTTGTAAATATGTCTCATCTTCAGAGGGATTCATGGAAAGGACTCTGACACTTACTCTGGAACACAGTTTTCTGATAAAGTTTCAGATCATAGAACTGAACTTGGTAAGAAATTACAGGAATCTAACGGAGAAACTGAGGACCTCATAAAACTGCTAACAGAAGATTAAGATCAAGAACTGATTATACAGGACAGAAAGAACTGAGGATGATTATAATTTTTGTGACTTTTATTTGAAATATTGTTGATTTTTTGATATTTTGCTTTGTTTTTTCAGATTCAAGAAAATCTTCTCTTTTTTCTTGTGCTATGACTTATAGCAATTTGGTGAAGTTATACCTTTGTGAGCAAAACTGAAACATTTGTCTTTTTCTCCCTACCTGATCCCTCCAGAATTTGGAAACTCTTTGTGAGTATGGTTATTTCGTGGCAATATAGTTATTTGCATAAGTTCAATAAGAATCTGTTCTCCTTATAACAGGACACATTGGTTATCTTGCCAAAGCTTTGACTGGAATGTCATATTTGAAACATACAGGCTCGGATATGACAATGCTGCCTTTGAGGAAGAAGGTTGACTTTGTGGAAATAAGCCACTTGGAAATACGGGCCTGGTACCTTGTTTACAGAGATTCTGGCAATCTTACCTGGTAAGTAAGGAAGCTTGCTTATCTGGCAGGTGCAAGGAACCTCGAAATATTTTGGGGAATCTCAAGAGAAGAGAGAAATCCACCCAAATCTAAGGTACTGCAGGCAAGGCCTGATGGCACAAACCCTTGGCTTAGCTTTCCTGACCTCGAGAGGTCTTTAAAGTGCAATCTGAGATTTCTCATAAAAAATTCCAGCAAAGCAGATTTAAGAGCCTATATGATCAATAGCTATTCTTGCTGCACTTATGTAAATAATTGGGCCAAGTTTCTTGAAACTAAACTTATTTTGCAAACCAATTAGTCTTAATTTGGCTATCTTTGGTAAAAATGAGGGTGATTTTAGAGAGAAGAATTGTATTTCAGTGAAAAACTATAATATACATTTGCGGATCTTAGATCCTAGTTTTGTTAATTGTCTTTGAGGTTTTTTTTCCTACCTGTGAATTGGACTGGATCCTGAATTCTTCTGCTGAAATATCTGGTTACAAATCTCCAAACTAATGTTTTCAATGTTTTTTTTTACCTCATTTTCATTTGGAATCATTGAGAATTGAACCTGTTCTTTATCCTGAAGCCTTGCAAACTAAAGCTGAACGACTTGATAGAAACTTGAGAGATTCCTGTCTGTTGCTTTGTAAGATGTAAGCCACTCAGAAAGATACCTGAATGCCTGATGACATCATCAGAGACGTTTCAAGCTGCTAAAGATGCTTCACTCTGACATCTAGAAGTCTTCTTGACTGGCTGCCTCCTGGACTCAGGAACTAGTTTATAATTTGCTCCAAACATTAACCTTGTTTTTCTTTTTATTTCCATAGAAATACTTATTAAATACCTGATTGCTTGCTTCCAAAATATAGGCCTAACTTTGGGAGCCCACCTGCGTTGCCGCCTTCTAAAATGACTTTGGACTGATCTATTACCAGGACTAAGAAATGTGTTCAGTGAGATGAAACAATCTACCACTCAGCTTCTGGACTGTGAAACTTTTAGTTTCAAAGGTGGGACTGTAGGGGACCTGGAAATGGCCACCCCAAGATATGTCTCTTTGGCATCAGGATTATTTGAGGCTCATTGCTTTTGATAAACTGGGACAGGGAAGGAGGCTCTGAGGAATGGAACTTGCCCTTTGTTAGGACACATTTACATTTGTAAGGTAAACCTCTATCTGTAAAAGGTGCCTCCCTCTCTGTACCAGGAAGAAGAAAGGAGATGACCTTCTCTCTAGAAACTCTTAATCAATACCAAAGGCAAGGACTTAAATCTGCATTTTATTGTGCTTGTCTGGTAACCTCCTGTAACTGACTTCCCTCCCCCTCCCAACGCTGGCATTTCCTTAAGGATTAAGCATCTTTCCTTAGGCTAGGAACTGATTGCTGTGCTCACCTGTGACCACCCAGCTCAAGACAATAGACTTGCCTCCTGCTTTGCCCACTGAGATAGCAGACCCACTACCTGCTGTGTCCATCAAGCGCTGTGCCTACAGGGCAATCTTGTGACTATTGTGGGAGGGACATTTCAATCATATGTGAAATATCCTGTTTGGGGGTATATAACCACTCTGTGCACCCCACTTCTTTGGTGCCCTTTCTTCCTTCGGGAAGAAAGTCCCCGGGCCATGGTTCCTCATAAAGCTTTGTTTAATTTTCTCTTGCTATTCTGTCTCATGTGAATTTAATTTGTTCTCCGGCCAGATGAACCCACATTTGGGAAGAGGAAATGTCTTCCTCCCCTACACAACCATTCTGAAAAGCAGTTTGGCAGCTTCCTACAAAGTTAAACACAGCTACCACAGGACCTGGCAATCCCCCTCCTGGGTAGTTAGCTGAGAGAAAAGGAAACTAAAAAAAACTGTACACAAATGTTTACAGCAGTTCTATTCACATTCACCAAAAACTGGAAACAAACCAAATGTCCTTCAAATAGAGAAACAAACTGTGGTACCTATATATACTGGAATACTACTCAGCAATAAAAACGAATAAGCTATTGATACAAGCAACAACCTGGATGAATCTCAAAGGCATTATTCGGAGTGAAAGAAGCCAATCTCAAAAAGTTACATACTGTATGATTCAACTCATACGATATTCTCAAAAGATAAAACTATAGCAATGGAGAACAGGTAGTGATTTCCAGTGGCTGGGAGTGGGGGAGAGTGTGATTATAAAGAAATAGCATGAAGGAGTTCTCTGGGTTATAGAAAGTCTCAGTATCCCAGTTGTGATCTGTACATGTGCTAAAATTCATAGAGCTAAATACAAAAAAAATCAATAATAATAAAAATAAAGAAATATATTAGCCAACATCTCAGCACACAAAGATGCACAGTAAGTGTGTGCTGGATTGATTTACAAATGACGTTGAAGATCACTATTGCCCATGTTCCACACTGCCCCAACTTAGTTGAAATTATTGTGTCCACTGGCTGATCGTGCATATGTAAGCAAGAACGAGTGTTCTGGAGAGAGGGCAAGTTAATTATAGACAAACTTGAGGATGCTTTCATCATAGTTGACACAGTCACCTTTGATGTCACCAGGTCCAAAGTTCTCATTTTATACACAGTACAATCCTTTACAGGAAGACTTCAATAAACATTTATTAATTATTTCCCTAACTGCTACTTCTTTCCTTTTTCTTAACAATCTCCGGAATCTTCCCAGGTGAGATTAACCCCAACTCCAAACTTAGAAATAGCTTCTAATTATCTTAAAGCAATCAGTCTTTTATTTCCTTTGACCACCATAATTGATTTAGTGATGGATCCGTGAACCAAGAAAGGCAATTGAGGCCAAAAAGACTGCACTTCTGAATTACTGTGCGAGCTTTGGAGTCAACAGATCTCTTTTTGGTTGTGTTTGAACCTGGAACCATGTCACTCCAAGGACGGGTTACCATCTTTCAATGAGAAGGGGAGAGTCTGCTAAGAGAGCGAGGAGGTGGAAAGCTGAGAGATGAACTGGAGCGTGAGAAACTGGTTCCTGGGCATATCATTTGGTTCTCCAGTCCAGTGTCTCCCAAACTTAATCAGGCGATAAAAATCCCAGGACTCTTCCCAATCGTGCTGCATCAGAGTCTGCAGGGAAGCCTCTCGTCTTACGTTAAGCTAGCCCTAATGTTGATGTTTTCAGGAATACGAACCAGTAAGTTTCCTTTATAGTTTAAGAGAATTTGAGATAGTCCTGTTACTTGCCAACAAAAGCATCCTAACCCATAGAAGCCAGCTAGATTTCTCTCCTTTGTTTTTTCAGTCTTCTCTTTGCGGAGAAGAGAGCATAGGCTCTCAGTGAGCTATGTAATTTACGTGCCCCAGTGAAGTTCAAAAGACAATCTCAGATGGGATTTCCAGAACAACCTGGAAAAACATACAGATTGAGAAACACATCTGTTAACCTCTTTTCCCTCCCACCGCTCCTCCCTCCGGCCCTCCTCTCTTTGATTAAATAGGCCCTGGGACTCCTGTTCAGAAAGACTTCCTGTGGTGCTCAGAATTACTTCTAGAAATCTGAAACCCCAGACTCTCTCCAAGATGTACCTCAGCGCTGAAAATCACCGCATACCTCTAAGTGATGGAAACAGCATTCCTATCATCGGACTTGGTACCTACTCAGAACCTAAATCAGTAAGCTTATCTCTTTTTCTTCTGTTTTAGTTTGTTTTTAAGAAACTTTCATAAAGCATAATCTGTAATTTATTTTGAATGGATGTCACCAATTTACCCCTTTTGTAACAATGAGAGCAACCTCCAAGGACTACTGTTTGGCTAAATGGGTTTTGGACTAAAGGTTAAACTAAATCAGTTTATGATAAAAAATTATCTTAGATTAGAGAATGGGACCTTTCTGCCTCATTTATTGAAATTCAGCTGAGTGCTGATTATTAGATTGAACTGAGACACACAATATTTCTGAGTTATGACTTGTGATTTTTTTTTGTTTATATTTAAGATTTTTTTTTTTTTGAGGAAAATTAGCCTTGAGCTAACTGCTGCCAATCCTCCACTTTTTGCTGAGGAAAACTGGCCCTGAGCTAACATCGTGCCTGTCTTCCTCTACTTTATATGGGGAACAACTTACCACAGTATAGTGTGCCATCGGTGCCATGTCCGCACCCGGGATCTGAACTGGCGAACCCTGGGCCACCGAAGTAGAACGTGCACACTTAACCAGGCCAGCCCCTATATTTAAGAATTTTTAGTTCAGTCCAACAAACATTTAGTGAAAACCCACCATGTATGAAGCATTAAGCTATAGAAACTTCAAATATGAAGAAAACAGTATCTCTGCTGCCTAGGAATTAAAAATCTTATAGAAGAGGCAGACTCTCTAAAACTAATTGTAGAACAACGAAGAGAAGAGTAAATGCTCTTCTAGAATTGTACACCGTATCTCTCTGAAAACACAGGAAGGGAATAGTTAAATTCGACCATGAAGATTGAAGTGGGTTTTCGTTAAAATATAGTAAAGTTTCTACTTATAAGAAAAATGTCTTTCTGCTTTCCTCATTGCAATTCAACATTTAATGCTGATTACCAGAATAAACAGTGGTATGTGGAGAATGCTACGGAAATTTGAGTGCTCATGCATAAATGAACTCTGTAACGCTAAGTATGAGTTGGTCAGGCAAAGAAGCAGAGCTGAGGCAGGACATTTGAGGCAGAGGGGAAGTATACAGGTGCAAGGATGTATGGCATGTCCAGGAAAGGCCAATCCCACAGTGGCTGGGACATGGAATTAGCGATGGAGGCAATAGCAGCTGGATCTGGAAACTCAAGCTGAGAGTGGATTATAAAGGACCTTGAATACCATGCCAAGGAGTTGGAACTCCATTCTATAGAACAGGAGAAATTATCTGAAGTTCAGTGTTTTTGAAAGATAACTCTGGGGCAGCATGGAGAACGGAAGACAGAGGAAGAAAAATAAACGGCAGACACCAAGAGTAGTTAACACTTGCATCACGATCCCGCATTCCACTTCAACTGCCAAGTTCCCCTGTTTTTGCTAATGCAAAGGGAAATCACTGTTGGAACAACGACAAGAGTCGGTCATTGGCCCCTTCCTCTTCTTACTTTGCCCATTGTCTCTGTGTGACCTCATTCGGAATCTTGGCTTCAACTACATATATGCAGGGACTCCTGAATTGTATTTCCTATTCTGTTTGTTATATCTGCCGTACACCTGTGGACTGGCTACATAAGAACCACCAGATTTTTTAAAAGTACAGCTTTTTAGGCCTCACCTTTGGTCAACTGAATCTGAATCTCTAGGGACAGAGCCTAAGAACCTGCATTTAACAAGCTCTTTGGCTAATTCTGTCGTACAATCCAGTATGTACTCCATCTTCCACAGGCACCTCTAACTCAACATGACAAAACTACCCTCACCATCTCCCCTCCCCCCCAAAATACTTCTCCTCCTAGCAAATCACACTACCACTCCCAGCCACCCAAGCCAGAAATCTGAGTATATTCCTTCATTCTGCCCTCTTCTTATTTCTTCCCTTCTCCACATTACATCCAATTGATTGTTAAATCTCTGTTGAATTTATCTCAGAAACATTTCCCCAGTTCATACTCTCCTCTTCATCTCCACTGTCACTGCCTGAGTTTAGGCTCTTAATTTATCTTTGAGCTATTCTTCCAGTTTTGTCCCCTTCCAAATAATCATCCAAACTGGGGCTATCAGGATCTTCCTCAGACCCAAATCTGATCGTGTCACTCCTCTGTTTAATTACTTCAGTGGCTCCCTATCACTTATAAGGTAGAATCTACACATCTTACCTTGCGCACTGGTCCTTTATGGTTCAGTGGAGACCTGTCTGTCCAACAGCATCTGCCACCACTCTTCCACCTCTCCCTATGTGTAAAGTACAACTACCTAAGTTCCGTAAACAACTCTCCCACCTCCATGCCTTTGAATGCACTGCCTTCGACCTGGACCACCCTTTCTGCTGCTTTCTTCACTTGGATAACTTCTACTAAACCTTCACGACTCAACTCAAGGACACCTCTCCTTAGAAACCCATTCCCAGCCACCACAACTTGCCACTCCAGCATATTCACATAGCCCCTTGTGCTCAACTCTATTGTAGCACTTATCGCACTATACTGTAATCACTGTTTCTCTGCAATCTTCCCCACGAGACTGTGAAATCCATTATTCAGCTCTGTATTCCCCATATAGTGTCTAGGTGTAATGGGTGTTCAGCTAATGCTTGCCAAATTAATGAATGAATTTGTGAAAGGGAATATACATGTATGTGAGCATCAGAGGGAATGGAGATGTAAATGGATACAACAGTAATAGATAAAATTTTTCTGAATACTTAACCATCTGCCAGGAACTCTTTTAAGTACTTCACACTGCATGCATTTTCTAATTTAATGCTCACAAAATTATGAAAGAGATACCATTTAACCCCATTTTACAGATAAGAAAACAGGCATAAAGAAGTAAAATAAATTGCCCCAAACTTGTAATGCTAAGGAACAGAGCTGGGATTTGAACCAGAGTAGTTTTGGCCCAAATCCTATGCTCTAATCCCTATACTATACTGCCTGTTATGAATATATCTTATGAAACTGCATATTTCTAACTACAACTTTCTATGTGTGTTTCTGTATATGAAAGTATCTAGGAGATATATATATATATATTCCCTTAATATATATATATCTCCTGAAACTCAGTGGGGCTCAAAGTGCTGTGTCTACCAATAAGTATTATTGAATACCTATGTGTCTAGTAATATTAAATGCTATGGGTTGGAGACATTCCAAAGCAGTCATGTGACATTTCCCAAAAGGAATTGTAACTCACTTCAGAAGATAAGACATACACCAATTAGAGAATATGACATACGAGGAATACTATTGGAAATGAAGATCATGCATGCACCAACCACATTGTGATAAGAAATATTACCAGTGTTAAAGTACTATATAGAGTCAATAGTATGTCTCACAAAATCAGAAACTCTTATGTGAAGAAAAATACACAGCATGCAAGTGGAAGATTTGGGGTATCTGGAGGAGTTGGGGTTAAGTGGGAAGATGGGGAGTGGAGAGAATGGAGTGTCTTGGATAGAGCAGACTCATGGCTTTCTGTTGCAAACCACACAACTGACAACTCCTTTATCACCTGCCCAGGGCTGAGGAGGCAAAGGCTAGAACTGTCAGTGCTCAGCCAGTCACCGTGAAATAAAATCACCAAGTTAGATTTAACTTCAGAGTCAGTCAGAACTAGAGGTGCAGTCTGATGCCAAAACTTAGTCTTCTCCACTTGACACGCCTGAGATTCTTTTCAAAACCTTTCATTCCACAACAAGAGAGAGAAGGCAGGTGCTGGGCTGAGATTACTCTTTAACTGCAATTCGTTCATTTTTCAGGGATATGGTCAAGTCAGCCAATATTTGCCCTGGGATCCTGTTCAGTTTTGTTTTGCTATAGAAGTTAGAGAGCTTCCAGGCACCAGGGGAAGACTCAGGCTGTCTTCAGGAGGGGATGGAGCGGGAGCAGAGATGGAAGCTAAAATAAGGAAGACTAGTACTGTCTCCTCCAACTTCTGCCCTGTGGACATTCCACCAGAACATGAGGAGACAGGAACTGTGGGAAAGCAGCTTGGAAGAACGTTACCATGGAGCTGCGTGAGGCTGACCAGCCCAGGATCTCCTAACTTACAAAAAAATTTTTTTCTTAATATGCTCACTTTCTTGTAAAGGGGTTTCATGCCTGCAGATTCAGGGAATTTCAGATGGAACCAACATTTAGTAGCACCAAGCACTCTGTGCATTACTTCACTTGATGATCACTAATGAAAACTAAAATGTACCAGTTCTCCATGTGATGTTTCCCTCTGACAGTGTCCCAGAATGCTTTCACACAGGGATGAAATGGTCTGTAACAGCCTCCCAACAGACCTCCCTTCTTTCTGCCACCCTCCCTATAGCTCCAGCTAGGTAAGTCTGATAGTTCCTTGAAATTTGTTCCCTTTTTCTGCTTTGATAGAAATTAATTCAGTTTCTCTGAGTATCAGTCCATAGAGTTAAAAGCCAATATTTATCAAAAACTTTAGGTCAAACTCAAGAATACTGCTGAATGAGCAGATGACACAAATCTGAAACCAATGGTCAGTATTTTGGGTAATTGGCAATAATTCAATTCAATGAATATTTATTGAGAGCCTACCATATGCGAGACATTTTTCTAGGTAACGCAGGTATGGAAACAATGTGCTAGAAACAGGGATTTAAAATCTGTAAGTGGAATGACTGAAAGCAGAAAAAATAAATACGCATATAACTTAAAATATAAGCAAAAGCTGAAGTGCTTTAAGAGAGACAATCCTTGTTCAAAATGAAAGTATCAATGAACAACTCTAGTTGTGAGGTAGGTCAAGAAAGATTAATCTCTGGGGAAAGAGTGGCCTAGGAAGGTAGATTGGGGTTGTAAATGAGCCTGTATTCCTTCCTGGGTGGCCTTGGTTGAGATTTCTCTCGCTGCAGGCAGTTTTCACAATCTGGAGAGTGAGTCAAAGGCTTTGCACTTTGGGCAAAGGAGAGGCGATGTCCAAACCCTGATGAGTAGCAAGGAGGATCCTGAAACATCAAGTCCATTCTGCACCT